TCGTTCTTCGAAGAAATTTTATCAACACTGCCAATCCATTTTATATCTTATGCTACTTTGTGTAAAGTTGTATTTTATATGGCTGCTAACATCAAGGGCTGGTTTACTTCGTCGAATTTCATTGTGTGTCTACGGGGGATTCTGGCGCCAATATTTTTTCTCTTCTTTTTTAATAAGTCTGCGGTAAATAATAGGAACTGTGAGAAGTAATTGTTTACGTAGCAACATTAACGTTAAAAGGTTGGCAACATTTGTATTTGTATCCAAGAAGGTGATATGCTGAATTAATTTGAAGTCGTTGGTGGCAAATATGTACATTTTTGTTCTTAAAATGATATTTGTAAAAAACGTGATATGTCTTGCTGTAATAATTTATATTGTAGGTAGTCTGTGTGCTTTATGAATGCAGTATTGGGTTTTTGGAGACGACGCGACGTCTATATAAATTATCTGTACGTTTTTGCTTTTGATAAATAATCAGTTTAGTCTGTGCTCTCAGAAAAACAGCTGTTTTCCTTATGTATTAAAATAAATTTTAGTCTCAAATTTAGATTGGGTTAATTTGGGAATTGATTATCTATTACCCTCTTATTACAAATGATTTTAATATGCTGAATTTCGTGCTTAGACCTGACATTTTGACTGCCATGGTCGGCTATCGAAGGAAGGCAAAAGCAAAATAGACTAATTCGCCAATGAAGCTAGCATAGCCGAAAAATTTAAGAAAAAAGTCTATAGCCAAAATTTTTAATTAGAACCAAGCCAAAATTTTGTAGGAAATAATTTCTAAGGACTGAGTTAAGAAATTATTGACTCAGAGGTAAATTGTCGAGAAATTACAAGTACTACATGGGATATTTATTTTTATTCAAAATTGCATAAAATCCTAATTAGATTGTATAGGCAGCCGGTCCAAACTCGCCAATCATGACAAAGTTTGACTTGAAGATTAAAGAAAACTGTAAAATTTCGACAATGCTGTAACCCATTTCCTTATTTCTGGTTTCAGTTTTAAAACTTCCCAGATATAGGTTTTTTTTCGCCACGCGTTTTCCAGATTAGCGCCTTGAAGCTATCTCACCGAATGACGTAATACTTAATTGTATCATTCATACAAAAAAAAACTAATTAACTACTATGATATTGTTTTTATCACAACACTTCGGTCGAATTTTTTCTCTTTAAATTATAGTTCAGTATGTATGTAGGTACCTATTTAGGTATTTGTATTGATAAAACTAGCGTGAGTAGGTACTTTGTAAATAACACGCTGTGTGCGGTCCTATTTAGGATTGTGTTTCAAAACACATTTTGTTGAATTAGATTAGAAACTACACACATATACACGTAAAGCTACGAAGGACTGTAAGTACTCTGAACTCTAAAGTGTACTGTATGTAGTCAGCTTACAAATTTACATAGGTTTTCAACTTTATTTAATTTGATATTAAGTCCAAAATAAGAAAATCCAATGAAAAAAATAGCTGACAGTCGGGAGTTGGATCGAGTTGTTTTTTTTTTACTTTAAACCAACTTAAAACAATCAGTCGGTGAAGTTAAGGAGTTATTTGATGGATTTCAAAACACATATAAATGATTTAAGATTCCGTTTATGAATGTTTGAATTCAAGTAAAATCTTAAACCCTGATCTAATGAGGTTTTAATTTTATCTAGGTATAAAGTATATCAAAATCAATGCCTTTACTTTATTTGTCCAATTTTGGTCTTGAATTATTCGTGGAAGTCTAGAGAAGGTTTAAAAGCTCAGACAACTTATGTTAGTTTTGAGGCGGAACGAAGTTGGCCAGGTCAGCTAGTAACTTAAATTAGAAAAATTAATAACTAATTGTCTAATTCAAACTAAACAGTGCTTCAGAACCAAACATACTACTGATACCACAAAGATATCTAGGTAGGTACTAAAGTTTGTAAATAATTAAATGTCAAGACTATTAATGTCATATTTATTTTTGGCTGATTAGATTTGTCTTTTTTGCTGCTTTCAATTAGTATTTAATTAATGGGAGTAGATAATCTAGTTTTTTAGCACTTTTTTTTTGTCTCGTGTATGTTTTATTTAAGTAGGTTCTAATGCACATGTATAACACCATCTATAACAACAGTATACCTTGAAGAATAAACGTCCAAAAGTTGAATTTTATCATGAAATAATAGGATGTCTGTAACACACAAGAAACCAATACTTGTCCACCCAAACACGTCGTTTAAAACCAGATGAATGACCATTACAACAGAAGACTGAAAGGCTTAATTCCTGCGTGATCTCGCAAGCCCAGATAGAAGAAGCCCTTAATGTCCTAAATAAGAAGACAGATTGTAGCATAAGCAGGAAGAAAAACTAATGTTTCATAAATACGACCTCTTTGCTGGAAAGAACTAACCTTTATTATAGCTTAGAGAATTTGTAACACAGGAAGAGGATCGAACATTACGATAAAGTTCTAGTCGATTCGAGTTTACTAGTACGAGCTTTTTGATTTCAAAATTAATTATAGGCTCACCAATTTCAAAGGGTCTTCTTCTAAAACTCTTTTTAACTTTCGTAATAGTTTATTTTCTCAATTACTATTCTAAGAAATTAATGAAAAACAATAATGGGTGGGTACGCTACAACAGTCTAATTATTATATTTGTCCGTCAAATGCTCACCATAGGTAATAATATCGCGCGCTTAACCCAAACATGGCATCAGGACAACTCTGGTGATTACGTAATCCTAGTTACACGTTGGATAGGATCAGGATTTATTCTAGTTACATAATCTATACATTATATGCTAGAGTCTGATAGTAAATTCGCGCGCGTTTCCGAGTAAAAGTATCCCATAACTTTTTCTAGCTATCTCAGTACCTAATTTCATTCAATTCTATTCTTTTTTTTATGTAATAGGTCGGCAAACGAGCAGACGGATTACCTGATGGTACGAGTAAGCAATCAGCGCCCATGGACACCCGCAACGGAGGAGTTACGAGTGCGTTGCCGACCTTTTAGGGATTTGGAGATTTAGGGATTGAGGAGGGATTGGGGGAGGGGAAGGATTGGACCTCTGGTAACCTCACTCACACGGCGAAACACAACGCTGTGGTTGTTTCACGCGGGTTTTCTGTGAGGCCGTGGTATCACTCCGGTGGAGCCGACCCATATCTGCCTAAGCATGGCTCTTCCACACTTTATTCTATAACTTCCATTAAATACAGGAGTAATTTAGTATCAGCATCGCAACGGAGGCGGGTCGCTAGTTTTATTAAGTATGTATAAAACTTTGGACGAAATCAATCTTCCATTGCAGACAGCATTGTCAGTACTTATCTGCCAAAGTGTTTTGTTTTGGAATTCTGTACGTTTTTTGATAAATGTCTTTATGTGGTAATTTTGAACGTGACTTGTTTGAGTATGTGTGTTTTTTCCGTATTCGGATGTTTTATTTATTTATCAAACATGTTGTAAATCATCCGGCGCAAGATTGCAATCGTGCGTAATAATAACTATGGAAATATTTTTGTGACTATATTTTGATAAGAGTGGTGAAGATGAAGATGGCTGCTCTTAACCTACTATTTGTAGTTACGTACTAAATTTTCCAGATATTACGTTTATTACAATTTGCAACTTAATAACACTCAAGTAAGATTGATTTTTGAAATTGTCTCTTTCACAATAACCATCACACAATTTCTAAGCTTGTTTTCCCGATGTGTCTCCTCGAAAAACACCTATTTCGGCTAAACAATAAAGTCTATTTTTAATCGGCAAATTTGAACTCCTAAAATATACTAAAAACCAATATTTCCTTAAAAACACATCCCATTTCTAAGTACTTATTCTTACATCCCAGTTGTTGTTAGTACAGACGCCAGCAGATCAACGTTTTCTGTGAAATTATTAGATTTTAAATTTTATCTTTTCGTTTTAAAGTCGAAAATTCAACGCAAAAGTTTTCAAAGTGGTGTATGTTGACCTGCTTGGTGTCTTCACAAAACGGTACCTTGTTCAAGTAAGGTTCAAAGTAAATAAGGACATCCTTCTGTAAACTTAAAGTAAGATGGAGGAATGTTTAAAAAAATAAGCGAGACAAGATAATTAAATGTTTGTTTTATTCAGAGGGGAGGTTTAAAGTATGGAGACTTGTTTTAAAAACTAATTTCTGCACGCGGTTTCGTCATCGTTACCGGGACAACAGGCTATATTCCAGACTTAAATCTAGACTAATACTGTCATGTGTTCATAGCCTTCTAGTTTTCGTTGATAAATGAAAATCCATCGCAAAACGTTGTTTAATTCGGACCAGTCGTTCTGGAGATAAGCGCGTTAAAGCAAACAAACCCTTTGCTCTTAAAGCTGTATATGATTAGTAAAGATATTAGTTGCATGCTAGGTAGGTACAGAAGGTAGTGTGTTGAACTTATTAGAATTCCGTGCTTATGTTAACATTTTCGAATTATATATTGTACTAGTTTCTACAGGTGGCTTATTCCTTGTCATGCATTTGTTTCAAATCTCTCCAAAACAAGTATTCAATATCGTTTGATCGGTTATAGCGTTTTTGACCAACAAAGTGGCCTTAATAATATTAACTGGGGTAGTAAGTGCTAAGAATCTTATGCTTACAACCGGTTCATCCTACCAAAGATATAGTAAAACAAAGCTAAGAAGCTAAGATAAAACTTTAAGTGCCACTTGTTTACAAAGTACATAACTTAATTATCTGTTAATTACCCCCCTATCTAAACTGCCACTAACAAAACTATTAAGTCAACAATTCTGATATACTATCTTAAATCTTACAATGCTTATGATAGCGCTCATTTTGCCACATCGCCCTAGAGCTTTAAAATTGTTCACTGTACACTGGCAACCTGTTTTATATTCTCATGTAAATGTTTTAAAGTTCATTTTTTATTTTTGTTATGAATATCTATGCTATCAATGTAATATGAAACATATTCAATGTGTAATAAGATTTAATTTTCTTCGACAGACGTAGCGGCTATGATTCAGAGACGAGCGAATATTCAGAGGATTCGGCAGCGGCCTACGAGGATGTCCAGGCTGCAACCAAAAGCTCTGGGCCGCGGAAGAATATTAATAGGGGGAGGTGGACAAAGGAGGAGGTAAGGAACAAGTGATATATTTCTAAACCATCATCATCATCAGCCTATAAGTGCCCACTGCTGAGCAAATGCCTCTTCTAACACTTAGGAAGTTTGAGTATCAACGCTTGTACAAGTCAGATTGGCGATTTCAAACTTATAATTTGTCTTAATAAGTCCAGGTTTCCTCTTGACATAAACCTTCACCGTCTGTCGGTGATGTCTAAATAACTTAGAAAGTTAGTGTAACTCGAAAAAGGCCAGCTAACAATATTCATAAGTTCCTCATACACTCTAAAATTTCTTTTCATGCATCAATGAAACAATGAATTTATTTTTGCAAATAGGCCATAAAACGGCACTTTTACACGTCAAATTATATGTGAAGAACTAGATGAAGCCGGCATTTCCTGTCTGACTACTCTGAGAAGAAATGCCGAAACAAACTCAGAGGTCAGTCTCTTTTCACCGAAACAAACTCAAAAGTCAGTCTCTTTTCAACCATATCAATCTGTAAACATATCAATGATTTGATTAGATCCCAGGCGATCGTTAAGCGAGACTAGAGTGCGAGGAATTTGTGACTTGGCACGTGCGACAGTACGACATTGGGGTACGGCAAATACCCTGTGCTTTTTACCTTAGCAGTAGTTATTTAGGATATAAAAGCGTAGCGCAATGCGGCTTTGCATTGCGACGATAGTCTTTAAAATACCCCGTTCTTCAGACAAACAATAACAGCACAACAACACAAACACCACAAATTAATTGACAAATAAGTGGGTACACACTACAAATTAACTAGAAAATAAAACAAAATAATATCAAACAAAAAAAAAAATAATTACGTATTAGACGGGTAGTAACATCGATCACTAATAAGTTCTTTATTAGTGATCGATGGGTAGTAAGAAAGAAAGATCATAAAGAACGAGAAATATGCAAAAAAATATATTAATAAATAAAATATGGCGCGGTTCGGTGTGTCTTTAGTTTGCGCCGAATGGGAGTCAGTCAGCAGTTCAGCATCCAATTTCACTTTCTTCTTCTATAATAATAATTTATCTTCTATATCTCAAATTTCAGGACAAGAAGCTAAAAGCATGCGTGAATATATATAATGAAAACTGGGACCTGATATCGGCGCAGTTCGCCGATAGGTCTGACGTCCAGTGCCAACAGCGGTGGACAAAAGTCGTCAACCCTGAACTAGTCAAAGGCCCTTGGACGAAAGAGGTGAGTTATTTGAAAATTATTTTATTTCTATTAAGAAAAAATGGCAACAGAGCAGGCAGATTACCTGATGGTAAGCATTCGGTATTGCCCTTGTATACACCGGGACCGGCAACGTCAGATGAGTTACAAGTTGTTTGGGGTGTTGTAGAAATTGGGGATTTAGGAATAATGGCTAAATCTCCAATTTGTCGTTATTTCTTGTTTGTTACTCTAACTATCAACATCCATAGTCATAACTAGGCTTATAATTTCTGGAAATTTTCGGAGCCCACGAACTTCAACTGTTATCCATAAATGGCTTCGCATGATCGCAGTTTAGATCGCCGTGATTCTATTAAACGTTTTTATCCGTCCCTCAAAGGCTTGTTGAAGTTTTAGTAAATAGGGTCCAATTTCGTTACTCATAAGCAATGACATTCAACAAACAAGACTTGCACAAATATCTTCGATCGATTACAATGATACGGAATATGTATACTATCATTTTCTTAGTACGAGGACACTAAAAGGTATCCAATCTTCCTCAACATAAGGTTTAAATTAGATAGTTGGTTTAAATATCTTCAAGATATTCAATAAGTTGGTAATACATGCTGTGGCGCATCCTTCTGCGGTACAAATGGCGAAGAGTTTATTGAACGTGGTTGCGTCATTATTTATATTACTGTATTCACATATGTTACAATAGTCATAGGAATCTATGACTACGTTTACAATACGAGTGTGGGAATCTAACTCGTAAATTAATTTTGAACGTGAATACGAACTCGCCTTTCTTCAAAAAGTCTAAAAAGACATCCCTAGGGTATAAGTAATATAGACGCCAAGCTCAGTCATAAAACTAAAGAGTTTCTGAACGAGAACTCGTCAATTTTTAGAAAATGTTCGATTTTCAAAAAGATTCTTGGATCTTTTTGTCATTTAAATTACTAAGGGCCAGTTTCACCGCCTTCATACATACAATCACCCGATAAAATTATGTGGCATAAATAGTTTATACAAAGGACGTTCTATATTCAAATTTATCTGGAACATAGTGGGTCCTCCATGGTATTGTCATTTCAAAACATCAAGAATTCGTTCAGAAGAATGTTGTGTTAAAAAACCTATTTTATTCATACTCCTTTGAAACTCCTTACACATTGAAAACCAGTATATCATCACTAAAGGCTATGATTTACTATAATGTTTCTGCGATGTCTTTACAAGCACTCATGAGGAGTAAATTACTGTTAAATGGCTTCCGTCCATGTACCAACCACAAAGCGTTGTTGTTCGACCACGAGATTATTAAAATATACTAAAATACTGCATAAGAAATGGGAGGTAATGGATCTGATTTCAGGCTATTCGTGACTTGGTTAATATACAAAAGGATGGGAAGGATTTTTTGTTCAGGGATGGTCAGTTTTCTTAAGGAATTGTTGTGGCTAATTTTCGTCTGTGCAGACTTAGTCCGGTTCGTGATAGTTCAGACAATGTGTTGTAAATTAAAAGATTTAAGCGAAATTTTCCAAAAAATGGGGCGCAAGAGGACTTGCGTTCAGCCCGTGTTGGTCAGGCAACATAATGTACCGTGGATCGAAGGACTGGATTAGAAAAAGGAACGGAGTGGTTTTTAGTCAGTATGCCTCTCGCCCTATTAATGGCGAGAGAGAGCTTATTTGATGATTTCTGCCCCGAAAAAAACTCAAGAAAATATATCAAAAAATTGACTAGATTTTGGAAACGTTATTTTTCCTGTTATTCTACCTAATATTTTTTTTTTATTATAAAGTATAAACATATAAATAACCGCACGTTTAGTAGTGTCGAACAATTCTCGCCAATCAGTCTATGAATGTGAGGAAGCGGCGTTGAGTCACGGGTCATTGGTACTGCATGCGCGCACGCATAGAATGTGCATAATTAGATAATGTTCTCGTGTCAGCCGTATGTCATTTTGTTTGGAGAAATGTTTTATTTTACTCCTACTACAGTCTAAAGTATACATTTTCTGTTAAGAATTGGGTTCGATCCAGGAATTTTACATCTGTTAGCAATTCCGCCCATAGTGTATAGTGTTTTCGTGAGGCATGATATCTTCGCCATTTTTACTGTAATATGCACAATCAATATACAAAATATTGTCCTGTATGTTTTTGTAGTATTCTCGACTAATTTCAAGCCACGCTAGGGCGCTCATATCCGTGATCATCAATGCGTGACACATGACATTACGAACGGTGAATGTCGCTTTTTACGGGGTTTGAGAATTACCGCCAGCATCTTAGAAAAACTATATGGTATTTGTTCATATTGTACCTATCTTGGGTATGATGGGTATTGGACTCTAGACATAATACTTAAATAAATCTATACACACATAACCATTTAAATTATCTTACAAATAACAAAGTCCTTGTTATCCCGAAATCGAGCACGCAGAACCTATAAAACTCTGTAGTAGCTTACGACAGAAATTCTTAGATTTATGAATGAATCCATTGTTTTAAACATACGCAGTGAGAATACTAATTTATATGTGGAAATAAATTTGTTCTACGCTTATAGCGCCATCTATTAACATGTTTATCCGTCAAAGTCTGCTATGACCCTTTATAGTCTGTACCAATTAGTTAGAATAAATAATTTTGAACTTTATGTGGCCAGTATTGATGCCTATTTTATATTACATGTAAGTTAGATGCATGATTGATAATATTCGAGGTTTCGTATTATTCTTTACTGAGATAGATACTTAGCTTATCTTCCTTCCTTGTTTATTTGCAAGGTATTGTCAACTTTAAATAGTCGATGTTAAAGTTGGTTTCAGAATAACCTGAAGATATAGTAGAAATGCTAAATGTTCCTTTTTTAATTTTTAACTTGGAACTACTAGCATATTATTGTCTAGTACTACAAATAATACATATGTAAATGAACCTTAAATTCTCATTCAGAGTTTATTTATGCAACCCACACTAGCCAACATCAACAATAAAAAAAAGTTCTACGGTCAATGACCTAACTGATATTATCGCTAAACCCTAAACTTATGACCTAGTAAGTATTGAATAAATTATTTCAAACCCACGTACTTAGACCCCGCTGTAAAACAATTTTTATTCAACCTTAAATCGTCGACTCAAGGTTGAAATTAGTTTAAAAAGTTTTTTGGCTTATGACAAACAGTAAATAACAAAGAATTTTTATTGTAATAGTAATTCTTTGAAAGGAACTTTTTCACACATTTTATGGCTTGGACACCCATTGAGAAGGATGTTGAATAATTTCAATATTTTTTTAACCTTCAGCCTACTAAGCAAAATGTATTTACATTTTTTTGTTAGGTGATGAATGAATTTCGGTAAATAAGTTGCGAATTACGTTTTAATCCGTAGGCATTGGTTTTACGTGTAAGAAAAATGGCCAGGATATTAATAGTTGACAACTTGTGTCTATATCAGATCATTACTATAAAGGTTAGAATTATATTTTATTTTTCATATTTAACTATTTCTTACAAAAAACCTCTTTTTTATGGCAAAGGAGCAGATGAGCAATGCTTTCGCAACACTAGAGAATTATGAGTGCGTTGCTAGTCTTTTTAGGGATTAGGGTTTCGGACATAGGCAAGGATTAGGGGACAGGGGGAAGGATTTTGAGAAATGTGCGTGATGTTCACTTCATAAAAATATATTTTTACATAATTCATTATCAATGTGATAAATGTTGAATAAATAAATCAACTATTCAAACAATAATAGATCTTCTGAATCACATAAAACAAATACTTTAAAGTTATTTCTAAGAATGAGTTCTTAACCCATTTTGGCAATAGACTAAATACAATTAGCTCTCTATACTAAAGTGCAATAAACAGAGTACACATGTCTCAGTTTGATCTCTGTCCCCATTAAACAGTGACATCATCAATTACAAACAAAAATTTGTTCTAGTTAATAATAAGCACAAAGATCTTTGTATAGATAGATGTTTTGTACGGACAAACAGACAAAAAACTTCCAAGTCCAAGGGCAAAGATATTGACTTGAAGCCGGCTGTGAGATGACGATATAATTCCGGTTTCATTTAGGAATAGATTTTAGTCATTATTCTAGTCTTTCTAGATTGCTTTCGAACGTATCAAGTAGGTATTATAGTAGATGTACAATCTGTAAAATAAACGATTGTTTCAATACAAAGTCTAGACTCTAGAGAGATGAGTTCAGAGGAAGAGTATTTGGCTACTAAGACGATACTAATTGTTATAAATGGTTTATATAAAATTGGCTAGTTTCCTAGGTCATTAATAAATTATTTTTACTTTTTCTTGATACAATGAGGTGTTAAAATGTTATTATACAGTCAACTGTTGAATCACCGATATTAAAAAAAAATATAACTCAGCGAGGCAGCCAAAAAAAAAAAAAACAAAAATCCATTTTGTTGCCAACAACAATTATTGAGGTTCGCTAACAAGTTCATAAACAAAAAAAGGTTTTACTGAACTTATTGTTATAGAAACTAAATATAATCCGAAATGTATCTTCAATTAACAATTGACCAATCAAGGTTATTTTTTTATAGTCATTTTTTACTAATACTTATTGTTATAATCGTACCATACTCGATCATATAGTAGGCATGTACAATAACAGCAAAAAGTGTTACATTCATATCATCTTTATCATCTAATTGAAAGGGCCCGCAAATTGACGTTCGTGACTCTTAATTTGATAGAGATATCAACTTTAAGTACTTTAGCTCAATTATAGGTGATATTTGTAATTGAATCGAGTGACTATTAGCGTAAGAACATTTTGGGAGTATGGTGGCGATCAGACGGCACGATTAATCGGGGCTTTATGACTTAGGTATCGTCGTGGTGGACCGGAGGTTAGGGCGCCCCCGCTTCTCATGCATGAGGGTGCGGTATCGAAACCTGGCAATACGGTAGTTTCCAACTAGTCAAATTCAATACTTTTATCCAAATGTCAAAAACGATACTTTTCTATGAAATTTGTATGAAAAACTGAGTTATGACGTCATAGTATTTTTGCGTCAAATAGCTTACTTATTTCTTAATAATTAGCTACATAATATCTAAAAGTTAGTGTATCGATCGATCGATGAATAAAAGTATAATTAGTTATTTTTCAATATTTTATTGTATTGATACGTCGAATTAATTTATGATTGACTTAGGAAACTACCCAATTGTACGAATGTGTGTGAGGTGATATGATCGCAGTTTGGCTGTTAGTGCCCGTAAATGGTTCGAGAATACCCAAAAGTCCCTATATCATCAGCCTATACGTGCTTGCTTATGAGCAAAGGCCTCTTGACAAGGGTTGAGCATTAACCACCACGCTTCTTGCTCAAGGCGAAAACTTTAATTAGAATTTATAAGTCCGGGTTTCATTACGATGTTTTCCTTCACCGTATTTCAGTGGAGTCTAAATATAATCGTCACATTGGTACTTGCCAGGTTTCGAGCCTGCGCTCTCATGCATGTGGAGCGGATGGCCTTAAGTTCGGGAAAAAATGACAAGTTTTTTACGACCTTAAAAAAATAAATAAACGAAATTGCAATTAATCATTACAAACACCTGATTAAGTGCTCAATAAACAGCTGATGATGTCGCTCTATTCATATTTTTTCGCCCACTTACTGGTTCACCTTGCTTCGTAACGTATTTTCGCACGCCACGCGGCAATCAGATGGTCTTAACTATTGTTTTTTTTCACACACTTTTTATCCATAGAGGTCCAATAAAGGATGGTACTTCTATCTTCGTAATTGTTTTCCAATTGATTTGCAAAGTCGCGGTTAGGTGAGAAGTTTTAGGTACTTATTTAACGTGAGAATCAAAGAATGGATTTGGTTCTTTGTGGATGTTTGTGGTTTACCATTCATTATTTGAAATAATATTTGTGTAAGACCGTTTTCTAAGAGAAGCTCTCTTAATACAAAGATACTCGTCAAGTTCTTAATCGTCTTTCGTAGAAATTATTGTTACAGGAAAATTATGCGGGTTTTTAAATGACGGGGATACCTTCCCACAGCCAAAATTAAGCTTTATTGTATACAGCACATAGCCAACTAGGGTGTTAAATTAAATTGTCTTCTATTTTATACGAAATTATTAATAAGTACTTTAAGGACTTAGATCATTTAAGTATTTTTCAAAATTAATCAGTTATTTTTTATTCCAACAGAAGTTGTTACAATGTTTTCTTTACTTATAATTATACGACTTTTAAAACAAAACGGCAAACACCGTATGCATTATTTTTTTTATTTTTTAACTGACTATTTACGTCTTAAACTATAGAAACCTATGCCAAAAATAAAATAAAAAAAACAACATTTTGATCATAATTTTCCTATCTCTATATACTAATAGCCATTACTAATTCAAACTATGTTATCTATTACAGGAAGATGAGAAGGTGATGGAACTTGTCGCCAAATACGGACCTAAGAAATGGACGCTCATCGCGCGCCATCTAAAAGGAAGGATAGGAAAACAATGCAGGTAAATATTTAAAACACTTTTTATTTTGAAAGGACGGCAAACGATCAAACGGATTACTTGATAATAAGCAATCGGCGCCACCCATGGACACCCAAGAAACGGTAAAGTTCAAGATCGTTGCCGCCCTTTTAAGGATTGGGGGATGTGGAAAGGGAAGAATTTGGCCCCCGGTTATCTTACTCACACGGCGAAACACAACGCTGTGGTTATTTTAAGCCGGTTTTCTGTGAAGCCGTGGTACCACTCCGGTCGAATCGAACCTTTGGTGAGAAGCATCGCTCTCCCACACTTTTTTATACAAATCCTGGCGAACAGGGACTTGCAATATAGCGTATCCAGCTATTTTTTAGTAATTGTTCCAATGTAATTGAAATAGAATTATGTATTAAATATAATAAGTGACTTCGTCTTTAATTTATTACTAGTAGTTTGTGAATAAGATTAAAAGAAAGAATACAATAATGTTCATTATAATTATTTCCAAAATCTTAGGAATTTTTACAGTTGGTAACAAAATCATCAAGTTTTCTAGAAATAACTTGATAATGTACTAAATATTTTTAACTTTAACTTGCAGAGAACGATGGCACAACCACCTAAATCCGTCTATAAAGAAGACAGCGTGGACGGAGCACGAAGACCGAGTCATATACCAAGCACACAAACAGTTAGGAAACCAATGGGCTAAGATTGCTAAACTATTGCCCGGCAGGTAAGAAATTAATCCATTCCCTATTTAAGGGCTGATTTTTGAATGGTTAGATAAAAGTTACCTGGGAAATAATTATGATGCTGTCGCGTCAGAATGTTTGTGTAAGACAGTGACAGCAACAATTTTAATTTCTCATTTTAACATTTTTATTTACTGATGTATGGCGATCTTTAAGGTATAATAATAGGAACTTTATTTATACTTATAAACGGTTTTTTGTTAATTTGCTGTCCCATATACTAATAAAAAAGACAGAGATTTTGCAAGTGTAAAGACTACAAACTAAGATCTAAACTAAACTATACAAAGATTGTTAACAAAAATAAAGAAACAACTATAACTCCTGTCTATCTTGACATTTATTGTCATAGTAAACGGAATACAATTCATCGAACGTTAAACAATTATTTAGATTGGTAGGTATTTACATGTGCAAAATAGTATTATTTAACAAAACCTCATAACTATCTAACAACGACTTATATTGAATAACGTCTTATAACTAATTAACTTGTTCAACTTTTACAATTCCAGGACCGACAACGCAATAAAGAACCATTGGAACTCGACAATGAGAAGGAAATATGAGCCAGATCTGTTGGACAGTTTCGAGACGCTCCGTCGGAAAAATCCGCGGGTAAAGCCGCGAGAACTAGTTGAATCTAATATAATGCAAGAAAAGGTGCAAGTCGCGTATAACGATGTTAGTTTGCTGCTTTTTATGTTTTTTTTTCTTTTCTTTCTTTTTGGAATAATGTGTGACATGGTCAATGGTAAAGACGTTACATTAATTCTAGTATCAGTTCTGAGAGAGTTCTGAATTTGAATGTAACAAAATATTGTTAAGTGTGGGAGAGCCAAGCTTCGGCACGAATGGGTCGGCTCGACCGGAGCGATACCATGACCTCGCAGAATACAGCGTTGTGTTTCGCCGTGTGTGTGAGGTTACCGGAGGCCCAATCCTTCCCCGAACCCTTCCCGATCCCTTCCCGATCCTTATATCCGCAACCCTTATCCCCAAAAGGCACTCGTAACTCCTTTGTTGTTGCGGGTGTGTCCATGGGCGGCGCCGATTGCTTACCATCAGGTAATACGTCAGCTCGTTTGCCGATTTATTTCATAAAAAAAAGAATACACACAAAGGTAGACTAGTAGAGAATGCTCAATGCATTAAGTCCGCCTAAGTAAAAAGTTTTGTGCACGAAGTCATTAAATATCTTGTTATTCTTCAGAGGGGTTCGTCGATAAAACAAAATCGTGATTCTATGAAATTTGTATCAAGTTATACGAGTAAGTTACGTCACACATTATTCCAGTCGAATTGGTGATTGGTACATATTAAATATCAGAAACCAATTTGACATATAAATAAAAATATGGCAATACACAAGACCAATTGTTGCCATATTTTTATTGAAGTGTATTTGCTGACCAATAGTTAAAAAAGGGTTCTCGGCTTTGACTGTGTTAAAACGTAAGGATTTTTAGTAAAAAAAAAAAGAAAACGCGTGGTTATACTAGTATTCATACACGGTATATCCGGATATATCAATAAGACCTTTTTAAATTCTCTCACATAATAAAAGAAGGAGAAAAATGGGTGTGACATACACATTTTTTGAGGGAGAAAATCATCGAATGCCTTTGTGGGGCGAGTAGAGAGAGCGTCAGACTCTTAACCACTTATCTGCCGGTATATGAGACATAATACTAAACACATTAGGTCTCGCTTATATAAACGTTCTAATATTATGGGTTCATGACTTAAAAGCACCTTGTTTTTCCTTAAAAGTCAAAGTCAAAAATCATTTATTTCATTTACCTGTAAGGGTAGGTACAGGCACTTTTCATCATCGAAACAAAATTTTAAAAATAATAAGTCTCAGTCTGTCAATCAGTCCTCTTAGTGAAGCTATTTGCTCGTTATTCTACTTAAACCGGACTGCAGTTTATCATTACGCTTGCAATCTAAAGTTTGTCTTATTATTCAGAAAATTAAAATAATAATAAATATATTCGTGGTCAGCACATACATTCAACCTTTACAATAATTTGCCTCATTTGTTTTTGTTTTCACCATCAAACACATGTCAATAACTAAACACTCTATCGCCATTTTGTTCCATTATGATCCTATCATCTTTTGCTAGTACGCTTCAAGCTTCAGTAGCCGCTATATATGTTTATGTTTCACTGTAAATATTTTATATATTGGCACTGTAGTAGTGTTTGTTTGTGGACGTTGTGGTGATTTGTAACTAAGTTTCATGTTAATTGACTTATTCACGTAACCGTTTGGCGAGATAACTCTGCTAATTAGTTGTCGGCGTGATGTTCGCTTGGTTCTGTATCGTGTTACGAGCCCCCGCGTAGTTCGAAACTAGTCCAGTTATGTCGTTACTTACGTGAATAAGTTGTTAAACGTTTTGTTGTTGTCTTCTGGTTTTGGGTCAAGTCCAATAATGTACCGCTGCCCCGGCCTTAACCAGAAGAAGGAAGGGAGTCTTAGTCAGTAAGAGTTCGACACTCCCTTTCCTCTTTGGCAGGGCGAAAGTAATTTTATGATTTCACCCACGAAAAATGTCGCGAAATTTATAATACTAAAATCAGTGTTATGTGTGTGTGTTTATGTGACTAATTAATTAGTTAAGCAATATCATAATAAACTGAATAGGGTATATTACAATTTTCTTTTTTGTAGAGCTTGCTTCTCAATTGTTAAAAAGCCACTTTGTTCCAAAAAAATAATTTGTATGAAAGCTGCGGTACGTGCACTAAGACATACTACACACACAAAACAACAACGCATCTTTCGAAACGTTAAAGATTCCTTTATTCACATAAAGATCCTGAGTTTCATACATAACATTTTGCTAGACCAAATGACTATAAATGCTGTTTTTGTAACTTTTCAATTTGTTACTTCAAGTAAAACTTAAAAACCATGCTAAATACTAGAACGCTTACACACAATCGTAACTAAATACCTAATTCCCTCCACAGCAATCCTGGTCGGATCCCTTCAACGAATCAGCTCAAAGTAACTCGTCGAACACTAGCCAGCCTCCTTCGAAACACGTTTTACATTTCCGTCAGTTGTTGAAAGATCAGCTGAACAATTTGCAACATCAAGTCATACCGAAGTCGCCTGACAGAGGAGGCTTGGTCGCTGCAGACGAAATGGAAATCGTTGATACACCTTTCAAGTGAGTACAGCTAACATTATAATGTAGTAGTGTTAGAAAGCTATGCTTCGGCTCAAATGGGTCTACTCGACCGGTGTGATACCACGGCCTCACAGAAACCGGCTTGAAACAATCACAGCGTTCTGTTTCGCCGTGTGAGTGAGGTTACCAGAGTCCCAATCCTTCCCCAATCCTAAAATCTCCTAATCCCTAATCCCCAAAAGGTCGACAATGCAATCGTAACTCCCTCTGTTGCGGGTGTCCATGGGCGGCGTTGATTGCTTACCATCATACAAAAAGTCCGCTCGTTTGCCGCCCTATAACAGAAAAAAAATTGTAGAATTTTGTACACTAGGTATGGTCAACCACAGATTTTTACAGTGAACATACATACATACAGTGTAATGTGTATATAGATTAATACACATATTAATGCTAACCATTTTATAAAGTGTTTATAATTGCTTATGTACCTCGCTTATCAAGGGAAGAAGCGAGGCAAGCAAACAAGTATACTAACTAAAACTTACTGGATTTTACTAATTTTTTGTTATATTCGACAATTTATGAATTACAATTAAAAAAACATTATGATTACTTTTTTTTAAACTTGCATTCTCCTTCATAAATGTCCAGTAAAGCGCCCGTGACTTTTGTTGACTTGTGTATAAGGTGTGTGTTTTTGTAAAATAAAAAAAAACTAATCTAATAATGTTTAACTCAATTTCAGATTCGTGAACATAGAAACGCTACCAACAGACTCACCTCTAAGAAACTATTTGTCGTCAGCCTCAACAGGCACTGAGAGCAACCAAGATACTGGTAAGTATATTTCACATATTACTTTTAAACTTAGATTGAGTTTTTTAGTTTAAAAGATTCAGAACTTTTTGGATATTTTTTTTCTATATGTAATTCGCTTTTATAAGCTTTGCCATAATCGTAGGGATAAAAACAGGTTATGTCAAACCTCTTTTATGTAAAAGAGAATCTATTATTTAACAAATATTGAAAAAAGTAACTTTATTGTTTGTTGATACCACAATACAATTAAGATAATACTGAGAAATCTTATTTGTCTAAACAATTCTATCCATTTGTATGAACTGCTAATCTTCCTTCACTACTGTCAGAAGTCTTTCGACTGCACGGTTGGCGCGGTGGCTGGGCAACTAGCTGCCGTGCGACTTGTCGCGGGTTCGATTCCCGCACGGAACAACACTTTGTGTGATCCACTAATTGTTGTTTCGGGTCTGGGTGTCATGTGCATGCGATGGTATGTTTGTAAACGCACCCACGACACAGGAGAAAATCCTAGTGTGGGGCAACGATTTAAAAAATAAGATTTTTTCAAACACTGCTTATGCTTATTAACAATATGTCTCTTCCACAGTAACATACTCTATACAAGCAGAAGCGAGCAAAGAAATAGAGGTTCCCTCAGCAATGTACACGTCGCCTCGAAAGAAGGCGGTCGAGACGAGCACCCCTCCTCCAATTCTAAGGCGGAAAACCAAAAAAATACCCGCGACATCATCCAACAACGCTAATGTGAGTTTTAAGTATTGTATCGATGTTTCTAAGTTTATATAAAGCTGTTATACTAATTCTCTAATATAAAGGGTGACTGGTAATACGGTAGTTTCCAACTAGTCAAATTCAATCCTTTTATCCAAATGTCAAAAACTATACTTTTCTATGAAATTTGTATGAAACAGTGAGCCCTACCCTATATATTATGTGAGCAATATTTCTAAAAGAGAAAATGAATAAGCAACAAACCTATTTTCTCAGTAACGTGTTTTTTTCTTTTGGACTGGCGTTATCAATGTTTGTTCACGTTAATTCCGTATCCCCTCAGCTGTGGCGGCCATTTTTCGCGATTCGGCGTAATCTGTGTAAGCACTTCGTGGGTGGTCCGCGCGATACCGGCGCGTGTGTTTAAAATTACAATATCTCAAACCTTTTGTATAGAAGCTTATATAAAGCTTATATATTTGGAATCGCAAAGAAATAAGCTAACATAAAAAAATGTACTGATCCAGTTTCAATTTGTAATGTATAATTAATCCTTATTTGAAATCGGTTGAGCTACTATTTTCCCAGATTGGTACAAAAGTCGTTACAATAGCAAAAATAAACAATTATTTTTAAAAACTTTAATTTTCTTCACTTATATACATGTGACTTCACATTAATTAGTAAAAATAAACACTACTCGCCATACATTTTTTTTACAGAAACAAGCTTTAAAAAAAGCCTCATTTAGGAGACTACTTTTTAAACGTCTAGTATCTGTCACAAGTGCGTTCTAGAGACTTAAAATGTGAATTTATGCATAGTTCTTGTTCTTTTTCATACACTTCGTGCAAGTTAGAGCAGGAAAGGTACAGATTTACGTCATTAAACGATAAAATAAAGCGACGGGTCGCAGCGGACTCCAGGAGCGCTGTACACAGATCCGCCCATTTTGACAGAGGACTCCTGGAGTCCGTTCCACAGCTGAGGGGGTATTTTTAAAACTTCATATTTCGTAATAACTCTAAACAATAACCTTATTCCAATTCACAGGCATGGACGGAGTCGTTATCCAAAGCGCTCGAGTACCGCGAGTCTGGCGTGACCCCCATAAAGGCGTTACCGTTCAGTCCGTCACAGTTCCTAAACTCGCCGGCTGGAATATCATTCTCCGCTATCGATGCTAATTCTACGCCTCTACGACATGCTGCCAAGGTACGGAATCTTATCATATAGTATCAAAAAGTATCCAACTAATGCTAATAAGTGCAGAGCATGCTTCGGCGGCACCTCCGGAGTGATACCACGGCCTCACAGAATAACGGCGTGAAACATACGAATCATCTATCCTCAAGTCTCTAAAAACCCACAAAATGCCGATGTATAACTCTTAGGTGTTACAAGCCGATGTCTATGAAATCTTAGGTTTTTCAAATGTCAAAAACGTTGTCTTTATTTCTTTAACGCCAAATAGCACAATTGTTTGTCTTGTATTATATGTATAAAAAATTACGAATAGTATTAGGTATATTTTTAATTTAGCTATTAAAGTTCTTTAAGTAGTAAAATTGTAAGATGACTGATTTCTTGTTAGTATATTAATAATTCGAAATCTAAATTAGTCAATAACATTTGTTTCCAGGAATGGAGTGCGAGTCCTCTACTGCAAACCCCTACGCCAGTCAACCACGTTACACCCGGCGGACCCAACCCCGTCAAGAGTAACACTCCCAAGTAAGTTACCTAACTTAATATTAGCTTTTATGAACCTTACTAAGAGCCAAATAAAGTACATTATTGTTTGTATGAACCTTGAATTTCTTTGAGAATAATTATATTACATATTAGGATTGGATGTACTCAGTATATCTGTTTACAGATATTACAAGATGTCTCTCAGCTATAATTAAAAAAATATTTTTGAGGCTTTATAAATAAAAAAAAAATAAACAAGTTATTACTAATAATATAATGATGAAGAGTTTGAAGTGAAAAATATATTTGTAATGGAAAATCTACATCTATGTATGACTACTTATTTAAATCTAAGCTAGAAGCTAGAATGCAATTTTTATTGAATACAAATTCAATACCTATACCTGCTAATATATATTTAAGCTCTTTTTGTATTAAAATCTACTAGATCAAGTAATCAGACATTAAAATAACTTAAATTATATTAAATGAGACTAGTAAAGACATAAAAAATCATAACACAATCAAAATCAGCCGATTAGCTGGAGAAATAGCGCGGTAGTAGATAGCCGTAGATTAACTTCGCTAAAATCAACAAACTAACCTTTCCCTTCACCTTTTACAGAACTCCAACGCCCTTCAAAATCGCGATGGCGGAGTTGGGCAAGAAATCTGGCTTGAAATATGAACCTTCCAGTCCTGGTTTGCTAGTCGAAGATATAACTATGATGATGAAGCGAGAGAATTCTGACAGTACTGTACAGTTGAACGATTCATTACTCTCAACTGCGGCCGATCAGGAAAATGGAAATGTACAGGTATGATATTATGGTTTTCTTTATTTTTGAATATGTAGCAAAAAGGTCATGATACCAAACTCATTTATACATGACATTTGTAATTACATCATCAGGCTATTAAAGTCTTTTCTCACATGAAGGAGGTTTGAGTATTAATATCATGCTTACTGTAATAAAGTCAGAAATCAATACCTTCTCTCTCAATCATCATTTTATAATTTAATGTATGAACATTAATTTTAAGCAGAGAATGCTATACGGCATTAAGTCTGCCTTATGTGCCAGTCTACTGTAGCGTTTGTGGGAAATCAGCGAAACTAGGCTAGTGGATAAATACAAAGTATACATATAACTCACAATGCACATAGGTATCTATCTGCAAGCGGAGCAAGAGAAGCGCTAGAAGGTCCTTAACCTCCTTCACGGCCACAACAACATTTTATTTGCCCAAGAAATATAAATAACACATAACTAACCAAAACACGTTTCTTTCTAGATAAACGACTCAGGCATAGGCAGTTTGAAGCGAGGCAGCGAGGCGGGCAAGGAGAATGTGCCCGGGCATAAGAAGGCTCGCAAGGCGCTCGCCCCCGCCTGGGCCGCGCTCACTAGTACCCCGCATGCCAGGGAACATACACCCACGCTTGTACCCGACGTCTCGTATATTGAGACCCCTGTGAGTATATATTTATACAACCTACTCTCACTTTTCACTCGCTGCTCAGCTCCTATAGATCGTGTCGTGATGTTTTACACCCTATAGCACTCAGGAACATTGTAGCTACCTATCAGTGAATGAATTTTGGAAATCCGACCAGCGGTTCCAAAGTTTTGCCCCTACACAAACTCACAAAAATTCAAGTGAAAGAAAGTCAAACTTCGGCACGAATGGGTCGGCTTGACCGCAGTGATAGATACCATGGCTTTACAGAAAAACGGCTTGAAACAACCACAGCGTTGTGTTTCGACCAAAAACCCTTATCCTTAAAAGTCCGACAACACACTTGCTACTCCTCAAGTGTTGCGTAAGAGTCACCTTCTTGCGTCAACCTGGGTGAGAGGAGGAACATGATGATAGGGATATTCCCCTCCCAAAAAATAAACGCCAAGTTAATAAGAAAATTTCGCTGTATTTCACATGCCCCAAACTGGAATTTATTACTAAAGAGACTTATTTTGAATTGTTCCAGAGCAAAACCTTAGCGGGAGACAGCTCAGTAATGTTCTCACCACCATCCATCGTGAAGCATTCCCTTCTAGAAGAATCCACAAGCCTACACTCCCTTATAAGCGCTGAAAACACACCGGACACAAGCAAATACGAAGACATAGACATAGAAGCCGTCATCACTGAGAAAACTAAGGTACAACACAGGTCTTTACTCCTTACTAATCCTGAACCTAACACCTTAGGCCCTACTGACATCATTTACCCAGAATATGAGATGACACCGTTTAGGGACATCACGAATCTAGACAATCCTAGTTTCTCTAGATTAAACGCTGATAGACTAAGAACTATTACCACAGGTAATGAACTTGCCTGCGACACCCTTATCGCGCCAAAACAGGTCCTAGCTAACGCCTTAGCTGACCATATTTATAAAGTAACCAATCAGAAGCCGTCTACATCACGTATAGATGAGATTTTAACCAATAAGATTATGAATAAAAATGATTATGCGCAGAAAGAGAATCAGTGGTGGACTGTAGATAAAGATACTGGACAAACGGACGATATGTTCAGTAGTGATTATTATATGTTCCCTAATATGTAGGTCGGGATTACGCTTATTGAATTAGGTATGCCTTGTGGTGTTTTGTTAGTCGATTTATTGAATCGATAAAAATAAATCGTTATTTGTAGTTTTCTTTTGTTTCGAACAAAATCGTCTTTATTCGAACCAATTTCAATAACTCGACTAACGGTTGTGTTCCAAGATAAATTCACACTATCGATTACAAATTAAGTCTAACAAAATATCACAAGATTTTACAACGGACTGTGAATAGTAATTATAAGTAAAAGACACGCTTAACTAAGTCATAACATTAACGGTTTTAATTAATTTAAACATGTGGGTTACTTTATAGGTGCATTTTTAAAAAGGAAAGAAATAATCGACAAATTTGTTTCCTTAATTGGAGCCTTACGGTCAGAATTGTGTAAATATTGGTCGTTTGCTATGTCTTTAGATATTGCTTTTCTTTTATGTTTATATGCACGGTTTTGGCATTTTGTCTGATTAAGTAGCACAAATGTTATGCTAAAATTTTCTCTAGTAACCCACTTCAAATTAAAAACTAATTATAATCAAAACGACTAAACTAATATCATAAAATTAACACAAATAACATTGTGATTTATTATTACTAAAAACTAATCGGAAATCGTTTAATAAAATCGACTAAGTAATTAACTATTCGACTAAAATCGATATTAAAAAATAAACATGACAAAATCGGGATCTAATGTATAATCGTATGTTTTCGATATAACGAATCGTATATTCGTTTCTTATAAATGATCGTGTGAGCGATTGTCGGTTGTAAATTTTATTAATTATATTTTTTTTTCGAATCTTTTAGTTAGTATTCGCACCAAACTAATGTAAACGTTAAACGGTATTAGAAATAAGGTACCAAAGATGAGGTTTTCATCAAATGAACTATTCGTTTTTTTTTCTATTATTATCTATTATTAATTTAATATATTTCTTAATTTCTCTAGTTAAAAAAAATATAGTTGTAGGAAACGTCAAAAGTATACCTCAAGTTTACCATGCACCAAATTATTTAAGTGTTACTAGTTGTAATAATTTGAAGTATTAATTTGTTTAGGTTAAAAATAACTTGTTCGTAGTGACAAAAAACAAATGAGTACAAAGTAAATATCGTGTTTTCAACAGTATTTAGGAACCGTAATGTTCCAATATTGATGGAGAAATAAGAATAATTTTTAAAATGTTTTTCGTAGATACGAAATTCGTTGAAGAACATCGATGTAGGAGACCTTATGGGTTGTATTAAGAGGGCGCGTATCGTTCGGTCTACTAACGACACCCTATTAGGCACCTTTCCCATCCCTGTATTTATTTATTTAGAAATTCTATTACTTATAGTATTTTTGCTTTGTATTTTGCCTTAAAATATTAACAACCTTTTTTTTATACTTAATTTAACTGTCATTCGAATTTCGACTTAAACGCTGTCGCATAGGTTGTGGAATTGTATTTATATAAAAAACACTTTTTTTTTGTTAAATTTTGTAACATTTTTATATCGGCAGCTACTTAAGAGTACTTTATTTGAAATAAACAAATGACATTACCCTTTTACCCCATTCCTACCATTTGTATTTCTTTCCTACCAATCCTTTCCTACCACAATATTGACAGGCCAGTGTTGAATCTTCATAAAAAATACTTATTTATTTATATCTTGTTATAGAAATTGTTTTTTGTTACTATTTATGTTTTAAAAGAATGTTTTAATTTATTCTGTAGCTGTAGTTTCTTTTTTGTATTATGGCAACATTTTTTTTTGTATTTCGATGTGTTTTTTTCTTTTTTTTATAGTAGAGTAGTTTAGTGTCTCTGTCAATATTGTTTGTATTCCATTCCAATCCAAAAGAGATCCGATGTCATTTTTTATTTCAATAAATGTATTTTGTACATTTTATTTTGTTGATTTTTTTTCTTTTCACCCTTTTCTTGATAGATTTTTTTCCTAATTTTTTTATGTGATATTAATAACAACTAAATATACACTAAATTTTTATCATACCAATAGAAAATTAGTTATATTTACAAAACACAGTTGAAATGAATCAATACTAATCACTGAGTCATCTAAAATATTGATTCTTGTTTAAAATATTTTTATTAGAACCCGTGATTAGAACTAAAAAAAAAACATTACACTCATTTCTTTTCCAAATTCATTAAGGAGAAAATCTTTTAATACATTTACTGTTCACAAAAAAACTGAATCAAGTTACTTAAATAATAAAAAGATAACCTGAATAGTTTCTGCATGAAGAAACAACATTATGTACCTATACTACCTATATTTAAAACTATAATAATTTAACTAACTATACAACTATATCGATATTTTTGTTCCATATATTGGTTATAAAAAAATATAAAGAGATCATAAAATTGCACGTGAAACGCTTATCCCTTCTAGATTGCGAGAGGTAACGAGCCTATTGTAGTGAAGAAATCCGCTGTCCGCTCGATCAAATTCGACCGACTTGAAGAACCTGTAGAAGTCAAGGAGGAAAAGAACCAGTCTCCTTTCATTGTGGTTAGTATATTTTTTTTTATTATCCAAGTACATCATCAGCATATAAGTGTCCAATGATGAGCAAAGGCCTCTTTTCACAAGGAAAAGGTTTGAGCATTAATCATCTCGCTTGCTCAAGGCAGATTGGCAATTTCAAACTTATAATTAGAAATTGTAAGTCGTAAGTTTCCTCATAATTTGTTTTTAAAAAAAAAAATAAAAAAAAATTGTCTCAAATAATGTTTTCCTTCTTCGTTTTGTCAGTGGTGTCTAAATAAACTTGGTGAATATATAATTCGGATAAGTAAACGTACCTATGGCTACCATGTCTATTAATATTTAATATGCCAAGGTTTTTAAGTATGTTTGGAAGGATGTATGTTTGTGTTTGTTTGTTTTTTTTAAGCAAAAATACTGAACGGATCTGAATGAATGATGAACAAAGGAGACCAATTTTATAGAATCATACGAATTCTTATGAACAAAATGAGAAGTAGGCTTTGTGCGCCTTTACCGACCTCTTTTATAATTAATGTTTATGTTGAACATTTCCATATTGGTATTGCCAATATGGAAATGTCAAAAAAAATGTCATTAAGCTTGTTCAACATAAACATTAATTATAAAAGAGGTCGGTAAAGGCGCACAAAGCCTACTTCTAGCCAAAATTTGTTTTGAGCACCAGAATAGCGTCCTTGAAAATGTCCGTCGTTCAAAACGCCACCCTGTATAATATTAGTATAGACTCATTCGGCCTTATTAGAAAACTAGGTTTTTCTATACTCTAGGTCTAAACCATTCCGTCAGTTTTTGTATTTCAAACTGAAGGGAGGTGAGAAAAAGATTCATAATTCAAAACCCGATTCAATGGTTTAAACCTAAAGATAAATTTTGTTTTGTAATAATGGGCATTATGTTTATGTACCTAATGTTATTTTTATTTACAGGGCACATACAAATGGCAGACTTTTGCATGCGGTATGACAAAGGACCAATTGGACCTCACACAGTTGGCCCACCAATACATGAGGAAAACTGCATTAAAACCTCGTTCGCTAAACTTCTTATGAGGATAGTTATTTTGTGATTATTTTTGAATTTGTGTCCTTGGGCCTTAGAAAATTTATGGACTTATTATGCTACTGGGATAGATTTTAAGCCGGAAAGTTTCTTACAGGCCTGGAGAATTTATGGTCTGGGCCGGTTCTCTATGGCTTTAGACAAAAAATGGACTTATCCTGTACTGGGACAGTTTGGACTGGAATTGTAAACTTTCAAATTGTAGTGTTGTGTGATTTTGTGTTTCAATCTACTGCATATTATTATGGTCTGAAATTATGTTTCGTTTTTTCATTGATTTTCAAGTATTTTCTGAAAAGAGTGTTAGAGAAAAATCGACCATAATGATGATATGTGACGGTTGATTATGTAGATGAATTACGCTTATTATTTTAGATGTATGTTTTTAATTTAAGTATACATATATTATGTAATATACTATATACAAGTATGATAGGAACAGTGTGATTTTAGTATAAGAACTTATTTGTAAGTTATATACGTATAAAAATGATTATGTTAAGGAGAAATATAGTGTTATTGTAGCTTTTGGATGTTTTGTATTTTATGTAGGCATATGTTTTTTAAGAATAATGTTATAATGTCGGTCTTGTATTTAGTTTGTTATTAATTTTATGTGTGAAGGATTCTAATTATGATTTTATAGATTTGCAGAGTTATTTAAGGGTTTATTTATAATAAAGTTTTGGTGTCAGTATGTGAAGATTTTTTAAACGGTATTTTGATTCAAGAATATACCTTGTAATGTAGCCCAGAAAGCTGAAATTAGCTTGTTCATAATGCTTCAAAGCGTCTTTTTTACCATAAATTTAAACAAAAAATCTTTTATAAATTGTTACTCAAAATAAAAATTACATTCTACACGATAAAGTCTATTTTTGCGTAAAATAATACTGTTAAAATATGGCGTCAAATATTTAGTAGATTAGTATTAAAAATCGTAGATAAATATCTCCTTTTAAGTCTTTATTTTAGTTTGCAAAAAGTACAAATGTAGTTGTAAGTTTAAAATTCAGTGTAGGATTCAGAAATATTGTTTTTATGTTACTTTGGGTTAAACAAAATAATATAGAAGATCAACGCGGGCTTGTCTCAAAAAAAGAAAAATACATATAATCAATGATATTATAAATAAAAAGGTGCAGATAGGTTACAAGCGCTCAGCAAGTGATACATTAAAATGTGGCTAACTAGCCACACTTTTTCAAATTTGTCTCTTTTTCACTCGCGATTATTGAATCATGCCATCCCACTTTAACGTGTATCATACGATTTATCCATGTGTGCATAAGTGTGCCGTTTTTGAAAATCGAATGTTGTCTATGTCACCTATCTATACCATTTTACTTATAATATCATTGCATAGAATAGGTACTACCTTCCTTACATAAACATTTCGAAAATTTTATATTACAATTTCTAAATTTAAAACAATTCTACTGTCACTTTAACTGCAGTAAATTCAACCACTACCTAATACGTCGCTCTACTCTTCCAATAAAAGTACAGAATGAACATGTTAACAGCCAATATGATTAGCTTTTGACAAGCGATATTATAACAGCCAGTTTAGCTGATTTTTTCTAAAGATCAACCTTTAAGAAATCAGTAGGCCTACCATGATGTGGAGTCTTCCGGGCGAGAAAGCGGGATGGAGCTATATAAGGTGTATAGCTCCATCCCTCTTTCTCACCCCGAAAGATTGACACTTTAAGACGTCATGATAGGCCCTCAGGAATGAGAAATGTGACGTTGTTTTGATAGAAAGCTCCAGTAAGTAATTTTAAAACATTGGTTTCAAAATTAATTTTAATTTAAGAGCAAAAAATGTATGTTACATTATTTAAGTAAGTAGTAAGAAATGCTAAATAACAACTCGAAAAACTACATATAAAAATTATGTTTAGTTTAAATTTTAAGTTTTTTTTTGTATAGTTACTTTTCTTTTTATAAGTGGCAATATTTATGCGAATTATGTTTTGAAAAAAAGTAAATATTTTTATTGCACGTTTTTCTTGTGAGGTCTATTCAATATTAATTTATGAATGTTCAATTTTCGAAATTCTCCTTTTGACTGCTGAGAGATAAAATACAGAAGGTTCTTTAAACATGTTCCTTAAATAACACAAAACCATAAAAATAAATTAACATAGCAAAAAAAATAAGCGTAATATTCATGATTAAAACTTAATTTATCACAAATTAATCACAACCCTTCCTCGATATTCGTTACATAGCCTTTTTCGACTTTTTATGAAACCTTCAATATCACCTAGTCCTTGTTGGAAAAAAAACTAGTGAATGTTAGGTCCTTAGGTACTAAAATCACTCCGGCGGACACCCTCACTTGGTACCTGTCAGGAAACACCGGACGACGAAATTTGAGTTTGGAATCGCCCATTTTCTAGAATTGCTGATTTAAAAATTACAAAAAATAAATCCACAGTGAGAAATATTTGGACACGCTTTTAATTTAATAAAATTATTAAATTTCGTTACTAACCATGTTTTGTTTTCAAATGAAAGTAGAGTCAGACTTACTCATTAAGAACCACTCTTGTTCCGCCTTATTGCGCTTACAAGCGCAACCCCGGCTGGTTTTTCCGTGGTGTGATGTGTATGTGAACCCACGACTCGGAAGAAAACTTTAAAGTGGAACACAATAAAAAAATAAAAATAAAATAAAAGTGTGTGGAAACGTTCTAAAGTCACAACTAGTTATGTTCAAATTAAAACTCAGTCGCAATCATATCGGCTAGGTAACTATTCCAAAAAATCGGATTGTCAATTGTAGTCCTAAACTGAACGACAACAGGTCATCAGCAGTCAACATTTTATTTTTAAAGATTTCTAATCTAACCAGAAATACGAAAGTAATTTAAAATTAAGGATTTTAGGAGAACTATTTTAATATACTTCAAGGAAAGTTCTAGAAATTCGTCATTCGATATTTTAAATTTTTGATGTGGGTTTGGATAACCCACTTTATACTTTGGGATAGCATTATGAGTATACATAATTTGTTCTATCTGTTCATGGGGATGCAGGGTCTCACATTTTAGGAAGGCGTTCAACGAGCCGAAGGCAATTTGCAGGCTCATTCAAAATCAAAGTAAAATCATTTGCACATTTCAATTAGGCCCTTACAGGCACTCTTGGACGTCAAGATAAAATACGTCAGCCTTTCAGGCTAGGTCAGTACTTTTCTGAAGCCATTTGCTTTTGTTCCAAAATTTAGATTCCGATGCAGTAGAACAAGCAAGAAACTAATTGAAAATTATTAAACATGTCCCAATTTAAAAAATATGTCGGAAAAGTAAGAATAAAAATTTATGCTTATAATGTTTTATAACTTTGCGAACTTTTATTGATGTTTTTATTTTCCTTTTTCGTACTCTACCTATCGCGTTGGATTAAAAACAATTGCAGCGCCATCATAGTTGAATTTCAGCATTTCTGGTTAGATAATATTATATTTAGTAAGTACGTTTGTATTTAAAATATTAAGTTAAAAGTCTTAGTTATAAGCAATGGCCATGTTTTATTTTATAGAAAGACTACGTATGTGTTTTTATTATGTGACAACAAGTGTAATATTTTAGTGTACATATTAGATAGTGTATCTAGGTTTATGGTTGTTTAGTAAGGAAATAAATGGTTTTATAAAAGTTTGGTTGTTTCTTTTTATGGTATACGCCCGCCAACTAGCAGGCGCATTGCCTGATGGTAAGCAACCGGCCTCGAGCCCAGTAACTTTGGGATTAATTGATTTTTCTATTTATTAGTTTGAAATACAATATCTGGGTGTATAAAAATATGGGTTCAATTTAAAAACTTTCAATGTATAATCACCGACGTTAATAAAACTTGGTACATACCTATACGTAATTTGTCAGTCTAAAGTACTTGAAGCTACCTTGAAGTACACCTATGCCCGGTTACGAAAGCCCGATCAATGAAAATCAACTAGGAGTCAAATCTCTTGAGATCTCTTGATTAAATTGATTTTAACATTGATCGGCCTTTCGGAAACCGGGTGTTATAGAGTTAAGAGAGATAGGAGAAGGCAATGATATTGAGTAAAGGTAAGTTTCATAAAAAATGTTAAGGATATTTTTTTTTGAAAAAGCATACCGTTTGTTTCAAATACCCCTGCAACTCTTGTAAGCCAGTATCTACAGTAAACACAACCATGAAAATACCGAGACACGTGAAGTACGGCGCGTCCGAGGGACATGAATAAATCAGCAGATATCTTTTGAAAAAAAACCGGATTAGTTTCTACTTCCTTCGGTAAATTTTATTTAGAAGACAATGACTTTTTGAGGTCTGGTTTCTTTCTCCCAGGAGAGGAGTGTCTGAGACTCTTACTGACTTAAAACCAAGGCCGCGTATGTTATTTCGCTAGCCCCGCAAGACAGAATGACTTAAAGGCACAAAAGAGACTTCACATCTGGGATAAGCCCAGTCACCGAACATATGTCAAGTATATCCCAAGATTTTAGACTTGGAAGTTTGTATAAAAACTCGTGTCGCTTAAACGCTCTTAACTTATACTTAACTACTTATCTAGTTTTCCATACCCAGCCAAACGAGCCAAGCTATTAAAATTATAAATCTATCCGCCACAACATCAAGATCTAAAACTGTAGCTTGGCATGACGTCTTAATGGCATCAGTAACTGAAACGTCTTGCGAAATTGCCTCCTGGCTCGACTCCGGAACCTATTAGCATGAGGACGAATTAAATTGTGGGATTAGGTTGTTAATTGTGATGAGCGGAGCGGAAGCGATTTTGTACACGTTCTAGTTATACCTAAGCTCAATGTTTTATGCAAACGCAAACGAGCAGACGACTTACCTGATGGTGGCAATCGGCGCTGTTCATGGACACTCGGAAAGCCAAAGGAGTTACTACTAGTTTGATGCTGGCCTCTTGTTGGTTTATTTGGGATTAAAGAATAGTCGATTTGAGTATTGAGATTGTGGGGATCGGCAAGATTGGGCTCATTCACACGCCGAAACGTTTTGTTTCAGGCTTGCATTCTGTGAGGCCCATTCGTGTCAACGGCTAGCTCTTCCATACTTAGTTACAAGTGCTAGGGGTTAGGCGTTTGCCGGGGTTGCGGGGTAAGCGCAATGAGGCACTGCGACCTCGGCCCAGAGCAGGAGAAGGAACAGGGGGGGGTTTTTAGTCAGTAAGAGACTGACACTCCCTCCCACCCGGCCAAAAAACCACGTCAACTGATTATCATCATTATTAACATCCTGGGCCTGTAACATTACTTTGTTGAGTTTGCTGGAAGTGAGCGTGGCTCATCCAGCACATCACTTTACATAATTATGAGGGTTTGCCAAACCATTCTTGCATTGCAGGCATTATACAGACAGATTGTTCATAGTTATCAAAGACCGTTGGTGCAGGTTTATGGCAAATTAATGTTAGTTTCTTTAGTCAGATCATGGGATGCATGTAGGTTATAATACATACATACCTAAATTTATAGAAAATAACAACTTACTTACGTGAATTAACTGAAACCAGCTCTACTTATTTCAAGTCACAACGGAACTCTTATTCCTGAGCTTCGTGCTTAACGCGGAGCTGTGGCGCAGAGTAGATAGGTAAATAAGAGTGACTTGTTTAGTATAGGTCTAAACCTTTGAGCCAGTTTTTGTATTTCGAATTGAAGGTACATGAGAATAAGATTCAAA